CACGTTCACTACATTTACATATGTATGTGTTGTTAGTGAGGTGCGCTGCGGTATATTGCAATTGCCACAAAGTGTTGCAACGAGCGACACAAACACTCAAGCGTGCGCAATTATATGTAGTGATTGTTTTTGCACGCGAAAAACATTATTATTATTATTATTATTACAATTTTCGCCAATACTTTTTCTTTTTCTCCTTAAATAGCCGCGAAGGCGCTGATTAGCGGCAATGGTGTCACAAGTTTTTTTTAACGTGATTTTTCGCTATTTACCGCGAATGGCATTGAAGGTGTTGTTTTTCAGAAATTTTTTGTATATGTTTTTTTTCTGGACAAAATCGAAGGTGATAAAAGGGAAACTTTAAAGGTGTGATAACTTTCATATTTTACCTTTTTTCGCGAACTGCAACGCCTTCTTATGGTTATGCTTGGGTAAAATTTTTTTTTGTTCGCGGTTGGTTGACACTGTATTAAGCGCCGTTATAGGCAACTCATACACTAAAGTTATGGGTTTTGTCTAAATAATATTATAATATTAAATTCGACGTTGACTGATTTTTCCTCTTAGTTGCCCGATATTTTGGTATAGTTTCTAATAAAAAGCGAAACGCCTAGAAGAAAACAATTCTATCACTTCCTCTATTATCCATCAAAGGTACTTTCAGAAAACGCCTCATTATTCACTTAGTGAAGTCGGATAGTCATTCAGAAGCTGCAGATATGCTAGGCATATGTTTGCTGGGATTACTGGTTGGGTAGGTTGGTAAGTGGGTGTGGCTTCCACGTGGAGGGCCCGTTGTAATAAATATCACTCCTCTTTGTTGAGCCATTTTGAGTCTCTAACCAAGGTCATCTGGCAACTTAGATTTTATGGAGAAGATAAACAACCGTCTATTGGAGCACTGATATATATTATCCTTTTTTTTTAGAGAATATAAGCTTCGATACATTTATCAATGTCATCTATGCCAAGTTTGCCTGCGATATAAGATATTGACGCAGATGGACAGCGAGGATTTTCAAAGCCAAGAAAAAATCTAGTGACAATAGGGACATTTTTTGCCTTTACGTGGCCTTATGTATGCCCTAGCTAGCTAGTGCTGTCTAACCTTATCTTTAACCGACTTCAAACAAAGGAGGAGGTTATCATTTCGTCGGAATATATATTTTTTATGTATGTTACCACGTTAACTGATTTCGAAAATTCTTTATTTAAAGAAGATTTGGTACCTCAGAGATGGTCCCATACTAATTTGGTTTAGATCCGATCATTGAATAATCAAGAAATTAAATACAGTGACACTGTACCGATTTAATTTTTTTGAACATTTTACAGATACTTATTGTCTTGTTTTACAAATTCTTTTATCAGTCGTCACATTCGACTCCCTTTCAACCATCTCGCTCTTTGCAAGCATGCGCTTTTATTCTGCGCTTTGTGCTAAGGTGGGAATCTTCTAGCTCTTGCTTGCTAACTGCACACGTCCTTTTTATGTAGCTACTAGCTACTGCAATGCCAAAGAAAAAATATCAAACATTAACTGAAATAGCAGTGCATTCAAAAAACAAAAAAAAAACAGTCAGCAGTCAGCATCCATGAGCAATCAACCAGTCGACGAAATCAACAGAGCCCCTACGGCAAAGCAGTGGTGCAAGGAACATCACCGCCAGCCGCAGCCTCACGATCACAACAGATGAAGGGCCACATCTACTGAGTACCATCCGAAGAACTAATGTGCTGCTTCCTAGCATCTTCCTTTGGTTGTCTTTTGTCGGTGCTTGTGTGCAAAAATTCCAGCAAAATGAGCAAATTCTTAGCACTTATTGTATTTCAGAGACTTTAGTTGGGCAAAGTTTCACGAGCGTTTTTCTACGAGTACGTTGTTAAATTGCGGCATTGTCCTGCATTTTCACGCGAAATGGCGTTGTATGAGAGTACGTACATATGTATGTCTTTGCGTTGGTTATTTATGGCAGTCAGCGACACGACTTGTTCACAACGTGGTATGGATGTACGAAATTCTTGTTTGCTCAAATTATTTGTGTTGAATTTATTTGCTTTCTGTTTGTTTTCGTCGTATTGTTATTATTATTTTTATTATTGATACACAGCCATCTACACGGCAAGCTTTGATGCTTTAGCTGATGCTTTTTTTTTATGTATATTGTTTTCTGTTCGCCATATTCTTGGTTTGCTAAATTTTTGTGCGAATAATTTGTGACTTCGAATTTTTGTGATACAAAAATTTTGTCGCATCCTTTCGCAGGCAATTTTGTTTTAATAATTTACAGCAATAACTTGTATGCACGGTTGCATGCTTTCTTAGTAATTCTGTCGTTTTTAAATACCAGAAATTCTTTGACCTTTCGGGGTTGTTGTAAAAAAGAAACGCAAAAAATATTATCCTAATTGGGTAGGACGAAAACGGGCTGACTTGTATTTTCTGAATTGGAAATTTCTTTTAATGGAACTAAGAATGCATGGGAACATGTTGGTTAATAATGTTGGAAATAACGAATTTTAAGAAGCTAAATCAGTAATAAATGCCAAATATATGGATAAAGTATGTGTGAGGTAAGAGGCGGAGTACCCGTGGGTACAGTACTAGGCCCAACATTATGAAATACATATAACATATCATGTAATTAATACTTCATCAGCCGTTCCCTTGGATAGTAGATACTATTTTATTTGTAGCTGAGTCAAGTTTTCTCAAGTGGGCCACCCAAAGTTGACTTTTAGATTTTTTATATTTCATTGACCGATTTTGAAAGTTAACATGATATTCAATATTGACACCAAAGATTCTGCGCCAATTTTATTTTTGACTAGTTATTTGCAAACAAATTTTTAAGCAGGCTTTTTCACTTTTAGAAATATTTCAGCAACCATTCATTCACTTATTGGGCAACAAAATAAAGTGGGCAGTTTGTAAAATTTCGATTCTTGTTTTGTAAAAAAAAATTATTTTTTTAACAAATTGCATTTTTTACCAACTTCTCAATACCTAGGAAAACAATTCAAAAAGCATTATTTGCGCTAAACATTCAATTTTACTTAAAAAACAATTACTGTACCTTTGATTGACTTAAAGCTTTTTACCAAAAACATGAACCCACTTTAAAAATATATAATACAAATGAACTGAAAAGCAAAAAATTCAATTTTCAAACTTAAGTATCAAATCAAGAATTACCAAACTATTTTTTGTTTGCTTTTCAGTTAATTTGTATTATATTTTTTTGCAACAGTGAGTCTCACCCAGCTAAGTGGTTGAAGTTAGCTTAGCTTGGGCTGCAGGTCATTCAATAGGCATGCTGATGCTCAGGGAATGGATTTTATGGAAATTGCCTTTTTTCTGCTAAACAGATCGAGTATACTCGATTAAGAATGTCCACGATTTAGCTTTCCCAGATTCGATATATACACATTCCATATTGCCTTTTTTTGCCTTTTTTAAGATATTTGCCTTTTTTGCCTTTTCAACTTTTAATTGTAAAGCGCAAGGAAAAAACCCTTATTCATGATAATATGAAAGTTTTGAACGTTCCATATTTAAATTGGACGCCACTTGTATCAACTCATGCCGAGCGCACGTTTAGTACATCCAAGGCCTTCGCGAAAATCTAAGGAAAATGCTGCCAGGCAACGTCAAAATGCATCTTGTGGTTTAATGTTACTACAACTATAGGGATTAAAGTTTTGTGAATTGAAAACTCGAAAGAAGAAAATGGTCAAAGTACAAATTTTTTATATAATGAAACTACACCTTTTCCAACTGTATTTCAGAGAAACGTAAATGTATATCAGAAAACCACAAATCTATTTCAGAAAAACTCAAATGTGTTTCAGAAAAGCGTAAATGTATTTCAGATATTCAATATTCCTTTCAGAAAAACGCAAATGTGTTTCAGAAGAACTCAAATGTGTTTCAGAAAACAGCAAATGTATTTTAGATATTCAATATGGCTTTCAGAAAAACGAAAACCTATTTTGGAAAAGCTCAAGTTTTTTTCAGAAAACCACAAATGTATTTCAGAACACCACAAATCTATTTCAGAAAAGCGGAAATGTATTTCAGAAAATTGAAATGTGTTTCAGAAAATCACAAATGTATTTCAGAAAAATACAAATGTATGTATGTTCCCAAAATTTTTATCCCCATCGTCTTCCCAATTAAGTGAGAATTATATAAGCAACGACCAAACCGTACTTGTGAGTGTGCGAATTTATTAAAAAATAAGTAAAAGAATTACATTCCTACAGGCATGTCGCGTAATGCCAAAGCATCAGAGAAAAAATGGATGAGTGTTTTATAGCGCGAGCACAATCCGCAGTAGCAATGGTTTCTTTTGCTTCGTGAATTAAGCCTTCCAAGTACTGCAAACGCCTTTCGACCACTCCAGGTCCATTCACAGCGGGAAGTGAAATATGCGTTTTTACGTAAGCTTTTGTTTTCGCCCATACGTTTTCGATGGGGTTGAGCATTGGCGAGTATGGCCCAAGACGCAAAAGTGTAGCCGATCCATTATTGGCGGCAACTTGCTCCAGTCCAGCATGGCAAGGTGCATAGTCGCACACAATAACTAAGTCCGCCAAATTATTTCCCAAACCGGTCCAACTTCTCGAGGATCCCCTTCACCCACTCTCCAGCACTCTCTTTTTTAAAAGAGCCGCGTCGCGTTTCCATTGATAACACACCCGCTACGCTTACAGCACCGATTAAATGTACATTTGGTTCTCTTGATGGCGGCAGTATTACTGCTGCTCGCGTCCCAGATCGTGCGCGACCTTTTGCACAACGACAAAACAAGTTAAAATTGGTTTCATCAATGTAAACTATTTACTTTCCTTGCTGAATAAAACCACTCAAAGCTGATACAAATTCGGAACGTTTCTGCTTGTTTTCCAACGTGTTCATCGTCGTTGGTATATGGTGCACGCTTTTGAGGGTGAATAATTTACCCTCTATGTAGTTTGCAGCGGTCGATGTGCAAATACGTTTGCACTTTGGAGACTAACTGCTTTAAGGTGACAGTACAGTCTTCTTCCACCCAACGAACCATTACAGCTACCTCGTTTTCAGTCAGCTTCTTTTCATTCTCTCCACCTCGTTTTTGAGTCACGACTCTGCCGGATTGCACCCATGTGAAAGCAGTTTTATAAACTATATCTAAAGATGATGCTAAACTGCACCAGTCTTCTCCCTTATTAGCGGCCTCAACAATCCGCAATCTGTCCTCGTTGTTATATTTCCTGTAATGAGTTTTTTCCAGAACCTCGTTATATGCACACAAAAATTTTTTATATGCATAAATAGATAAATATAAAATGCTATTTATTTATTTAGATGTATATGTTATTATATGTACGAGTACTTACCTTCAATATTTCCTCGACATATTGGACACTTTTCTTCTACAATGACAGGTCCACTACATTTTGCGTACAATAAATGTCCACATGGAAGCAAACGCACGACTGATTTTCTGCGCATGTCCATCATGCAAATCGTGCAATTATCCTTTAATTCTATTTAATAAATTTATTACTCGTTACCGCATAAAATTACTATTGAATATTAACTGCGTATTTTATAAAATATTTGTTTTTTTAAGTTTATCTCCATGCATACTACATACATTAGTAATTGCATTTTCTAAAGTATATACTTTTATGGATTTCTGAAATACATTTGTGTTTTTCCGAAATACATTTAAGTTTTTCTGAAATACATTTGTGATTTTGTGAAACACATTTACGCTTTTCTGAAACACATTTGAGCTTTTCGGAAAAAGATTTGTGGTTTTCTGAAATACATTTGCGGTTTTCTGAAATAAAATTAAGCTTTTCTGAAATGGGTTTGTGTTTTTCTGAAAGGCATATTGCATATCTGAAACACATTTGCGGTTTTCTGAAACACATCTGAGTTTTTCTGAAACACATTTACGCTTTCCTGAAACACATTTGAGCTTTTCTGAAATAAATTTGTGGTTTTCTGAAATACATTTAGGTTTCTCTGAAATACAGTTGGAAAAGGTGTAGTTCATAGTTTTTCTCTTTTTACTTGTAAGATAAACATTTCTAAAAAAATGTACTTTTTTACTATTTTTCGGTTTTTTCTTTTTTTAATGCCTTCTTTTGCCTCTTTTGCGATTTCTAGTGCCTTTTCCTGATATTTTATTTTGCCCTTTTTATAGGATTTTATGTCCTAAAAATCCGTTCCCTGGTGATGATACTCATTCGCTTTAATTAGAACCACAATGTATTCCATCATTCTTGATCGAATTTGATATATTTATTAATAAATTTATCGATTTTGTCAATAAATTTATAGCTTCCAATATATTATTGATATGGTTATCGATATATTTATTGCTTTTGATATTGGCATTAGTACTTCTACCGATGCTTTTATAGAAAACTTATCGATATTTCATAGTCGAATTTGCGCTCGACCATCCCGCATCAACCAATGCAATCCTGAACTGATCAAAGTTTATATATTTATCAATAAATTATCGATTTTTATCGATAAACTTATCGTTACATATTTATTATCGATACCGTTATGCGGATAAGTATTACTACAATTATCGGTATCAATACGTTTATCGATGTCATTATCGATGTGTCATTTTCCGATGTCTATATCGATCAGTTATAACTATCAATCCTAAAATCAAATTTTTCCATTTTAATCAGCGCAATCTTTTATTTCAATATTCTTACTATGCGCATAAGTATTACCATAACTATCGTTATCAGTGAATTTATCGTTGTCATTAGCGATGTGGGCATTTGCCGATGTCTATACCGATCGTTTATAACTATCGATATCCCAAAATCGAGTTCGACCATTTTTTTTCTTGATTTTCTAAGTATATCTATAAACCAGCGGTTATCAACATTACTATATTTATCAAAGCCACTAGCTATTTACCGATTTCGGTGTCGATCGTTCATAACATACGATCTTCCTCAGCTACATATACATAATTATATAAATAAATTTACATATACTTACATAAATATAAGTATGTACATATGATGCTGCTACCCACATATAAATGTATTACCCTGCCTACATACTTACTTACAAATGCGCACTTAATGATTTTCTATGACATTTAACTTTTAACAGAGAAAAATCATTAATTCAGTCGAAGAAAAATGACGGAAATGCCGGAAAATAGACAAAAAAAAACGACACAAGCAAATTATTAACAAATGCATACCCACACAAGCATATATATGTATGTGTAGATGAATGTACATGAAGATGCATTTGTTAATGGGCTTATATGCATAAAAATCGAATTTCCAACAAAAATGAATCAATGGCAATCAACTATCAGCTGCCACTGCAATCGCTACATTAACATTTAACATTTTTTCTGCCTTAACAATTAATTGTTGCATATACATGCATACTAATATGTGGATAATGTCATGGACTAGTATGCTGGTTGGCCGTCTGACTTGCGCGGTCAATATGTGTCATCCGCTCGTAGCCCACACGCGTCAACAGCAACAAAGGCCCCGGCAATCTTCGTTTTTTGTTTGCATGCTAATTTGTTGAGCGGACGCCGCATGATCCAAATCACTGTGGCACGCAACTTATGCATATTTATATGCTTAAGTGTATGTAGTAATCACAAATGTTAGCATACCGGATAAGCGCTTCATGGGGGAAGAGAGACGACTCTCATTCATTCGCTCACTCACTTTCCGTTTCCGTTTGTGATGACAAATGGTATAACTAACAACTTTTAAAATGCGGATTTGAAAAGCACACAAAAGCAGCAAAACAAAAAATCATAAAAAGTTCGTGCACTAGGGCCAAATTCCGAAGAATACGTCTATCTGCATATGCACATACATACATACATACATACCTGTGTATTAAATGCTAAACAGTTTGAGTAAAATTTAAATATTAATGACTAGAGCAGGTTGTCTGCTGACTAATGATAACAGCGCCGCCAACAAGCCCACGCCTCCGCCATGTGGCTGCCAGCAAACAGCCTTCAAAGGTGAGACGCACGACGCACGCTAAGCGGCAAATCGTGGTGAGACATACACACGAACACGCATACATACATACATATGCACGAAAATACTTATATGTATTTATTATTAATGCTTTATGTTTGTATGTTTTTGTTTTTTTTACGGCAATGCGTGGGCTGCTAATTATCGAATACACCAACTGAATTTTTCGCTTTGCTCTTATGTTTTTTTACATATTGTCTTTGTCAAGTTGGCGCCCACTTGTTTTGCGCTTGCTTATTTCTACGTATTCGCACCCGCTTCCGCACTTCATGCTTCATTATTAGCACACACAGCTGATTCTCTGTTCTTGGTTTGGGCTGAGTATTTCTTTGCTGTTGCTCACCTTTTTACAAGCATTTATATTCTTGACTTCGATTTGTATTTCTTTGCAAGTAATTGAAGAAAAAACAAAACAAAAAACTGAAGTATAACTGCAACGACGTTAGGAATTATGGAATAAGTAGAGCGTTCGCAAAACACATTATTCGAATTACTATTTTATGTAGATACTTAATACAAAAAAGTGCAACTTAAAGCAAGTTCTAAGTTGGCCGAACACAAAAGACTTAAGATGCGAACTTTTCAAATAATCTTTAGCTGAAATTAGTGCTTGGTTGTAGTTTTAATTCAGCCTTATTTTATAACTTATAAATCGTTACAACAATTTTATAAAAGTAATAAACGTATGTTGCCATCATGCAACCTCTTAACGGCATTGCTACAAATATGTATGTATATTTTTACTCTGCTACTACAACTAAACGTTCGAGTAGAAAGCCAGAATTCGCTGTTTGGGTAGGATAAGCCAACTTGCTTGCTAGTACCAATAACCAGTTATTTTAGTGCCTCAGACTTGTCGACTCAAAAGTCATATTCAGCTCGGCTTCTATGGTGGCTGTTATGTTGGTGCAAAGTCCAACTTGTGGCATGCTGCAAGCATAAAAAATAAGAATAAGCAAAACATGCAGCTATTGCTATTAAAATGCTCCATAGTATTTACAACGACGTGAACATAAATCAGGAAGAAAACTGAAAAAGCAAAGAAGCAGAGATGCTGAGAAAGGCAGACAAAAATTGCTGCAAAATATGAACTTCAGTAAACGAGCGAGGCATAATTCAAAGTTTTGCCTGCAAATGAAATATTGAAGATTTAAAAGTAGTACTGTAGTCGTCTAATAATATGAATTTCACAATAGGAGGGCCTTCAGCAAACTAAAGAATGCATAACAATGCACTTATTTTAATAATAAAAGAAAAACATCAGATTTAGTTGCCTGGGTATTGATTTTTTAAGAAAATATTTTAAATTTTTTTTATAAACAACCTATGTAGAAGCACATATGTGTCTCTATAAATATATGTACTATTAAATGTATAAATCTATAAAAAAACTTTTTAATATTTTCAGTTTTTCCAATTTTCATAATTAAATAATTTTATACTTATACTCACTTCATGTTTATTATTTCAAAGGTGTAATTTAAGGGTCATATACTTACACACATTTTTCACAAAACTACATAGAGTTCACTCTTTAAGGCAAAACGGTGTGCGTTTAAGCGAAAGTGCGAAAATGTGAAATATTCGACAGTTTAGTTTAGATATGGCAACGCTTCGCAATTTTAGTTTCGTACAAACGCACCGCTGAAATTCTGTGCTGTCCTGTTCGTACATCGCTTCAGAAGTTAAAACGACAGCAAAAACGAAGCGCAACGAATACTTGAGATTGCGCTGTGGCTGAACTGTTCGAAATTTCGCAACCAAAGCAACAACATTGTTCACGCATTTGCCTTTCGCATTTTTGCGTCAAAGAGTGAACTCTAGTTAAGTTTTCTGAACCAATATCATCTGCATAATGCCGTTATGATTAGCCTTGTTCTCTCTCTCAATAGTCAAGAAGGAAGAGGCAATCCAGGAATCAGAGGCATTTTTAAACAGTTTTTATATTACCAAAAATATATGTTCGGGTTTAGATGATCAGACTTACATAAATCCTTATATTAAAAGTGAAAAAGTAGAGCGCACTTTTTAAAATCTCAGAAATGTAGGCCCAACTTACTAGGTTACTAAAAATTTAAATATATACTTTTCTGTATGATCAAAAAGATATGTCCATTTTTCATTACGCACAATTGTTGAAAAGTTTTTAAATAACGCAAAATTTCAAAATAAGCAAAAATGTATATAAGTATTTACAGAAAAAATTTAGGCGCAGTTTTTAAACAACTAAAAATAATTATTTTTTTTTTGGCTTTCGAGTTATCGAAAATGTATGCCTTGTTTTTAAGTAAACAACATAAATTTATGTCCAGTTTAAGAGTGACCAATAAATTTATACAAAATTGCAAACGACCAAAAAGTGATGTATAGTTTTCAATTTACTAAAAATGTATGCTGAGTTCTTAAAAGAAGAAACATTTACTTCGGGTTATTTTAAATTTAATGTAACCACTAC